CTGTTATTATCAAGTTCAGTTATTTTTCATTTACATTCTGCTCTTTCCACTAACACTTCACTATATGATTGTCTTCATAACTGAATAAACATAGAACATCTCTTACCGATAATGATCTAAGTTCAAATTTTTATCTGCTGTAATTAAATATCGATCATAATCACACTGATCAAGAATCTGATTCAGAAAGAGATGAACAAAATACAAGTTGAATAACCGAAACTCAATAAAAATGGCTGATCTTGAAGGATATGCTGAAAAATCCAAACCTTAATTTTTTCTCTAATTAATCGTATGAAATAAGAGCATCTTATGAGTGAGTTATTTTATGAATGAGTTCTTTTGTCCTGTGAAAAATGTTCCTACTATGAAGTATAAATTAATCGCATTTCGTGTGGTTCAGCTCATTTTATAATTAAGATACTTGTTTTGTGAAATGTTCTTTAGTAATAGAACGTAGACGGTTTTTCTTAATTGGACTAGCGTAGCAAATTGAAGTAAACGTTTAATAACAACATAATCAGCATAAAATGATTTTTACAAAAATTATATTGTTGAGGGTATCAAAAAAGATGACTTTTTTAAGGGACATATCAGAAGACCTCCCTTGCGACTTGTGAACGATAACACAAAGTAAAAGACCCGGGATCTTCCAATGTGTCGACAGCTTTAAGTGATTAAGCAATTCACCGGTAGAAGACACTGTTATATTCCGTTTTTTACCGGAAAAAAACTGATTCTCTACTACCATCGTATTAACGAGAACAACACAATGTTTTGGTAACCCTGAAGCAGAGCAACAGTACCTCCAAGTCTGATTCGCTGGTACAAAAATTTCGATCAATCAGATCTCAAAAAGGCTTTTCACCTTTTTCTGTCAGAACAGTGCACGCAGTTTTTTGGACAGGTTAGAGTTCATAGGATTTTCCCTCATATGGTCCTAACAGTTGCGTACTGTGTCCATAAAATAGCGGAGCTAACCCTTCCTGATATCTAATTAAGCCAATGGATACCTTGAGTCAACTGATTTATCTACTCTCGCAGACTCTACCCGAACTTCACAGAAGAAAGGCATTTTCAAAAAAGCTTTTGTACAAGAAAAATATCGAATTCAGTGGCACTTCTTTAATGTTAATCACCCCATTCTCCAAGTTCAACCGAAATGGTAAATAAAAAACTTCAAATTAGTACTAATTATCAAGGCATTCGTTAACACAGTCTTTTAACCAACTAACCATTCTCTAATAATGCTTTTTCAAAAATATTAAGAGATAAATGAAGCTATGTAGCTTCCTTTCCATTAATTCGCGCTCTAAATCAGGTCTACGGTAAGCACCACTCCTCGCTCGCACTAGAGAAGTTATTGGTGCCCTGGATAGCCCTTGAAGACTTATAAATTCCCTCCCTGGATAATCCATGAAGAGCCATAATTGTCTCCCCGAGTAGGCCTTCAAGATCTATAAGTACCATTCCTGGATAGGCCTTCATGAGTCATAAGTACTTTCCTGAGCAGATCATGGAGACCCATAGGTACCCACCTTAGATAGGACTCGATGAGTCTTAAGTACGCCCTTCCATATACCTTCATAAGTATTCCTTGAACAGCCCTTTGAGAGCCCTCAGTATCCCCTTAGATAGCCCTTGATGGATCCAAAGTGCTCCTTCTTTGGATGGATCTTCGTGAGTCCTAAGCTTTCCAAAAATACTAAAGCATTAGACTTATTCATTAATATTAATGCAAAAGCATCAGCATTTCCTTTAATACGAATGCTCAAATAACACTCTTATCAGTGCCATTAGATAACACGTCAAACATCGCGGACTGACTAATCACAACAGGACCGAGTATTCATAACCGGACAGACTATTCACAGCCGGACGAATCCACCCTATATATATGACTGTCACCACATGCCTCACTTCGTTTCGCTCGTGGCTAAGATTCGAGTAAGTAGGCTTAGAAATCCTCAAAAAAGGCGCTCACCAAATACGAAACCCCATCACCTATTCTTTAAGCATCTATGAATCACAACAATATACGATACCCTCATAGAAGCACCTACACCTACCAACTCTCACCTGTGCAGGTAAAAAATTTCTCATCTGGATGTATAAGTCCTTCACAAATCTCTTTTAGGCAAATTTTTTTTAAACAAACGCTATTAAACCTTTTACATCACATGATTTCTTCATCGGAATGCCTGCATTCTTATAGGAAAAGCCATTTCAAGGCGTTTTCGTCACTACCTCCTTCGTTATACTTAATTTCTCTAAAGAAATATGAGTTCTTCTTTAAAAAAAGGCCTTTTAAGGCCTTTTCCTTAAATTTTTCTAAAAAACACAGTCATTTCTTTATCAAAACTAATGGATTCTTCTAGCAAAAGTCATTTTAAGGTCTTTTCATAAGTACCCCCTTTACTTCAGTTAATTTTTGTAGAGAAATCTGGATTTTTCCAGAAAAGGCCTTTAAAGGCCTTTTTTTTCAATTTCTTAAAACAACGTGATTTCTTCACGAAAACCCATGAGCTCATATAGAAAATGGCATTTTAAGACTTTTTCCGAAGTTTCTGCTTTGTTTTAATGAGTGTCTACTGGAAAATCTGAGTTTTTCTTAAAAAATGCCTTTAAAGGCGTTTAAAGGCCTTTTGCGAAGTTTCTGTTTTGTTTTAATGAGTTTCTACTGAGAAATCTGAGTTTTTCTAAGAAATGCCTTTCAAGGCCTTAAAGGCGTTTTTCTTGAATTCCTGCAAATAACGCGAGTGCTTCCGAAAAAACTATGGGTTGTTGTTGAAAAGGGTATTTTAAGGGCTTTTCCGAAGCGCTCGCTTTATTTTGGTTGATTTCTATGAAGAAATCTGATTCTTTTCGAGAAAGGCTTGTAAAGCCATTTTAGCGTCTTGTAAAGCCTTTTCCTTCGATGGCATAAAATGAAGCAGTTGTGTCTAATTTATTGCTTTCCAGTGGAAAGTGCTGTGTTTCATTTTACGGCGTTGTCCGTGTCGTATACGACACGGCGATTTTCGGCCGTAATACGGCGCATAGAAATACGGCAGTATATGGCGTCGTAAACGGCCGTTGCGGTCGTCATAATGCTCCACCTGGGACGATTTAGTTTTTTTCTCTAAAAACTCCCATCGAATTTGTTTGATAGAGTTCTTCTTCTCGTTCTATTCTCTCATTTCAGCGACGCCGATGCGAGGCACTGATATTTTTTTCACTCCTCAAGCTCGATGGTCAGTCAATGGCAGTACCGTCGCTGGTGGTCATGGCCAGGGTGGGGAGTTGAATCAACTCTCTAAGCCATGGGGGTTGTATGTAGATGATGATCTAACAGTCTATGTTGCTGACTACTCCAATCACCGTATTGCAGCATGGCCAGCAGGGGCCACCTCTGGTCAAGTGGTGGCCGGTGGAAATGGGCAAGGAAATCGGTTGGATCAGTTAGATCGCCCAACCGATGTAATCGTCGATCGATCGACTGATCGTCTTATCATCTGCGATCGCGAGAATAGACGAGTGGTTCGCTGGCCTCGTCGTAGTGGTGCTCAAGGAGAAATTCTCCTGTCCAATATCGCCTGTTGGGGTTTGACGATGGATCGTCGCGAATTTTTCTATGTCTCTGACACTGGGAAGCAGGAAGTCCGACGTTTCAAAGTGGGTGACTCACAAGGAACAGCGGTAGCCGGTGGGAATGACCAAGGTGATCGTCTCGATCAACTCAAATTTCCCACATACCTCTTCGTCGATCGAGATCACTCGGTATACGTATCGGATAACGAGAATCATCGTGTGATGAAGTGGGTGGAAGGCGCTAAAGAAGGTCAAGTAGTGGCTGGTGGTAACGGTCAAGGAAGTAGTTTGAAACAACTACACTATCCGAAGGGAGTGGTTGTCGATGGGATGGGCACTGTTTACGTGGCGGATGAAGGTAATCATCGAATCATACGTTGGCTTCGAGGTGCTTCTGAGGGTAGTGTAGTTGTCGGTCGTGGTCAGTTGAATGGCCCCACAGGTTTGTCCTTCGACCGTTACGATCATCTCTATGTCGTCGATAACAATAATAATCATCGTGTGCAACGATTTGAATTTCTATCGCCATGATGCGTACATATTTTTACATCTAACTAATAAACTTCATTCCGTAGATAATGGTGATACGGAGGTCATACACAGGAGAGCCAAAATTGATGGACCATTTGGTCCTATGAAGTCAATGGGCCCACGTACTGCCACCATCGTCAAAACAGAAATTTTTCCCGCAATAGAGAAACCGCAGGGTGTGAGTGTAGATATGAGTATGGGATGTGACTATGTTGTGGGTGTCGGCCTGTATACAGAGGTTCTTACACTGAGAACCTCACTCACACCTATCTCCAAGTTTCAAGAGAAAGAAGAGTAACAAAAACGCATGAACATCCTGGTGCTTCTTATGGCGTGAGTGTGTGGGCGTGGGTGAGCGTGAATGTAAGTGTGGGCGCGGGTATGGATGCTATGATCATGGCCCTTCGGGCACTCACACCCATCCACAACCATATCCTCTCTGACGCACCGTGGGAGAAATGGATTTGAATGATGACGATTAAAGACATGTAGATTGTGGACAGAATGAATAACATTTAGAGATATCAATAACTTTTTTGTTTCGTAGCTAATAACGAATTGATGAATTTCATTTTATCTTCATGTTTATGAAGTTATCGACTAAAAAGTCTTCAAGAGGAAGCTTTGACTCTTTTTTGATTAGAAAGGTAAAGAGCTCTTTATCTCGCCAAGTTACAGAACGCATTAGTTGCAAAAGATAACGATATACTTTGAAATCCTATCGGATTACGTGCTATATAATAGGCATTTTTTTACGTTCGATATTTATTGACTTGACAACTATTTCATTATTCAAATTCATGTCTCATAAAACGGCTAATAAATTTGGGCCCAAGAGTGTTTCAGAGTCAACACCAGTGCCAAAATATAAGAAGTACAATATCGATCGCTCAACTAAAATGACAGTAGAGAGCACCAAGTACGTACAACGAAACTAAGCAAAACTATTGCTATAGATAATTGTTGATATAGAAAACTAGGTTCTTTGACCAAAATTCTTATTGCTGTACTCGTGATCGTGTTTGTGGTAACCGCCGTGACTGTGCCAAGCATTCTCTTAACTCGACCGGCAAGAAAATCCTCAACTGTTTCTGTGTCCACTAGTTCGTCTGGCACACTGTCAACGACGAAGGTCTCTTTGACAGTCACAACAACAGCGAGTACCAATTCGACAGCCACATCAACAACAGCGGGTATCACTTCAACAGCCACAATAACAACAGTGAGCATCGGTTCGACAGTCACAACAACAACGGCGATTATCGATTCAACAGTCACGACAACAACGGCGATTATCGATTCAACATACACAACAACAACAGCGGACATGGCTTCAACAGTCACAACAACAACAACAACAACGGATATCGCTTCAACAGTTACAACAACAACAGCGAGTGTTTCTTCGATAGTCACACAGCCAACAACTCACATAACTTCGACAGTCATTTCTACTACAACAGAGATGACGGGTGAGATTCAAGCACAGGAGAATCTGTTCTTCATTCATCTCTTGTTAGTAACAGCAGGTCGCGCATTAGAAGTGTGAGTATGAGATGTGGGTGCAGGTGAAGGGAAGATACTCACCCGAACCGGCATCCAACATCAACACCCTCACACGCGTACCTACATCTACGAGTACAACGATGATGATCATTCATCGGTATACCGTCACCGTTTCACCGCTTCAAACCGATAAGCAGTGCTATGGTTATCGGTCAACTACGATAACCGTTCCTATGGCTACCGGTTTTTCACAAGGGAAAGGATTTTTTGAGAAAATAGTGCTTTTTTTTATAAGGGTTGATGAAAGTAAATCGGGGTCGGGAAAAGCTGTTGTAGGAGAGTAGACTAAGAAATCAAATATATGATTTCGAGGAATCGATTACAGATTCGAATTTTTAGACCACGATTTACTTTCGTGAATCTTTATAAAAAAAAACCACTATTTTCTCAAAAACCCTTTCCTTTGTAAAAGAAAATCTGTAACTGTAGGTACGGTTACCGTCATAGTTGCATCCCTATCTACACTCACGTCCAACCACATCGACACTCACATCCTGATCAAATCTAGATTGATAAGATTTCCATACAGATCAGATCAGTTTAAGAAAAAATCGTGTAGGAAGAACTTAATCAAATATCTCGTTTCAAAGTGTCATGAATCTTTCGTCCATTCAGATATGATTGATTAAAAAGCCTGTTTAAAGCAAAGGATGACTGGTGTTAAGGCCACTTTTCGGCCCAAAATATTTTCAAAAAAATAAGTATATGAGGATGACAAGATTGATATGAACTACAAATCTCGCACAGTCAATTTTGTTGAAATCACTTTCGGATTTTCAACTCCTGTACCTCCTATAGGAGTTTGAAAATATAAATTCAAAGTTTACTTTTTTTGAAGTTGTTAGGAATATCCAGCTGACCGTACTGATCAAAAACATCGGCATCGTAACTCTCAGAAATGTAATGTTGAGTTGAATTTCGAGTTTGACCTATATCCAAATGTTAGGTTCCAAGTTGGATTTTTTATCATCGCTTCGTAACTGCGAAATACGAGCAGGATTAGAGTAAGGTAAGAGTGAACATCCCTTTCCAGCACTCGTAGTACACTGAATAGTTCTGAACTCAAGTGGAACTATAGTAGTTCAGTGTAATTTTTCAAGCTCTATTCCAATTTATCATTGAACTGATTAAAAAAAACTGACATCACATCGAGAAATCTGATATACGAGCAAAATTACCCTATTTTCTCGTTATTGGTTTATTTTTTCGACTTCTAATAAGCATAATTCAATTCTTTCTTTTTTTTGTTCATTCGTACTGCAAACACGTACAAACAATGTAATTATAATATATCAAAAGTTTTAGCCACAAGGAATGCTTCGTTGTTGAGCTATGAGTCAGTTAAGAAATGAATATGTTTCACAAGGCAAGTGAAAAATCCAGCTTCATTGAACACACCATAATACAGAAAGGATACTTCCATTTTGACTGAAACTTTGGGTATACAATAAGGTCAATACAGTCTCTTCATGAGCAAAACTTGCGGGTTCTTATTTGCACATACGATTTTTCTCGATATAGGATGGTGAGGAGTAGTTTTGCTTGCATATCAGATTTTTCGACGTAATGTCGACGATTTTTAATCAGTTCAATGACATTTTTGAATACAGCTTGAAAAATTGCATACACGAGATACATTTTTAGACGCTTTAGAGGTTAGTCTATACGACAGAATAGTCAAAAATCAGGCTTGGACCTCAAAAACCCGGATATAGGTCAAATTCAAAATTCACTTCAGTATTACAAGTCTGAAAGTTACGATGCCAATATTCATGGTCAACTTGATATTCCTCACAACTTAAAAAAAAAGGTAAATTTTGAAATATTTCTTCAGACTCCCGTAGGCGAGTACAAGGGTCAGAAAATCGGGAAGTAATTTTAACAAAATTGACCGTGCGAGATTTGTAGTCCATATCGCCCTTGCCTTGTTCATATATTTATTGATTGAAAATATTTTGGGTCAAAAGTGGCCTTAACGTCACTCGCGTTCTTTCATTTTCTCAACTTCACGTTCTATAGCTGTTTCAACACATTTACTGTCCCTGTCATTTGAGAATCTTGAATTATTCTTGTACCGAATGGTGTGGGTCTTGTCTTCACATTCCATATCCACATCCGCACTCATACCCACACCTTCGATAACAAACAAGAGAACAATCAGTAATCTACAAATTTCGATTGAACTCAAATCTTTCTTAAAGGTATTTCTTCACCGTTCACGCGTCTCCATGTATGCAATCCATGTTGATGTGAAGACGGTGGGAAGAACTAATGAGTCTTCGAAAAATGTAAATAAAACGTGACTAAGACAAAATGAATCGTAATTATTGGAGAAAAGGTATCGTCTGTTCTCATGGACCTTATCTATTAATTTGAAATAAAGAGTTCGTTGTAGTTATATCTAACAATACATGAAGACACAAGGAACTTTCGAATGGATATCAGAGACGGAAAAAATGGAAAATTGATCATTCTATACGATTCAATTTTGTAGAACATCTAATATGTTGGGATTTTCATAGAGTACATCGATTCTTTTGTGCCACTCTCCTCTTTATTCACAATATTAGTTGGATTATAGTCGAGAGGAAAACAGCGGACTTCAAGAGACTTCAAAAGACTTCAGAAGACTTCAGGTGACTCCAAGACTAGGGGTGGGAAGTTACCTGGAAATGATAACGGCTCGTGACTAGTTACCCGGAAACCGTATCGGTCAGGTGACTGTCTTCTGTCACCAACCCCGTATCCTTGGGTCCTCAAATCCTGCTATAGGGAGATACCTTGGACCTGAAGGACTACTATACTAGTAGTTGTCCACATAATAAGAAAGAAAAGGTCTTCTGAAATCTGATGGGCGCATTTTTGACTAATCAGATTCCAAAAGGCCTTTTCTTTCTTTTCACTAGGACAACCACCAGTCATGTTCGGGCCGATCATAGAATTATCGGGGACGCTCTATCGAATGAGGTACATATACGTGGGACTCCACCAAATCTATCACTGGGAAATAGAATCTCGTAATATGATTAGTCGATTTTGCGACTAATCAGATTTCAGAAGACCTTTTCCACCGTGTTATCGGGCAATCACTAGTATAGCAGGATTTGCGGATCCAAGGGTACCCCCTATAGTAGGACTTGAGGATACAAGGGTTAAAAATAGCTTATTTTTCAAATAGAGGTGACAGAAATCTTCAAAATGTTTTGGAAAAAACGAGGTACCGGGTAAAAAGCTTTATCGTTTATGGAAGATTAGATCATAAGCTATCTTCCTATGCATTTGACTTAATTTCGACTATTCTGGCGAAAAGTGACTTTTTATGAGGGAGCCTTAAGTTCAAACAAGCTCGGAATTTTTGAGCAGATTGAAAAAACAATAAACGCTCACGTTTTAGCTGAAATAAAATCAATTAAAGCCAGACTGTTTCATTGGTTTTCTTATGAATTTTCCATACACTAAAGGTACGTCAAAAATTCCAGAGGACTTCATGAGACTTCAAGAGACTTCATGAGACTTCATGGGGCTTCAGGAGACCTCAGGAGACTTCACAAGACTTCAGAAAGACTTCAGGACTTCATTGGACTTCAAAACCGAAGTTTTAGTTGTTTTCCCCTCGGTTATAGTCTACTGAATCTTGTGAGTGTTAAGTTCAATTGACCGCTTTTTTTAAAAAAATAATCGTGATTGACTGATAGGGCGAAAGAAAACGCACTTATCTATCTATCTGCCCTATTTCTGATGACTAAATATACGATATTTAAGACTGATCATTTAGCTAAGATGCAATAATCGCTTGAGCTCAAGATACTTTTAACGCGTAAATGGAATAAATAGATTACTGACGATCAGTAATGGAATGTGGCATCTAATTTGCTTTTTCACAGCTTCTAGATCCCACAGGCTCAACTATCTCAGTAAGATCCTGACGAGCAGAGAGTGTATATTATTGATGCACCATTGGTACGTCTACTTATTTTGGAGACAATACCTGAATATGAGAAATTTTTTCAGATTTGTTTCGTAAGAGAAGAATTTAAAAATTCACACTGTCTGACAACGAAAGGACTGAGACAGTTCATAACAGTTTATGCCTACAATAATATTCTGTTTTTTCGAATATCTCTTTATATTCATTTCACGCATACTGCTGATTTGAAGACAGAAAATTCAAATGATCTGCAAGGTACACACTAACATATGGCCTGTTCATATGAGAAATTGAAATCGCGACCCTCATACTTCGAATGACGATCTTGTACTGCACTATCCACCAATGTACATAAATCGGTGCTCATATTCGAAATAGAACAAAAGTGACGAATTTGAACAGAATAAGCCATCATTTTGGTCTCGAAAACGCTTGTGTAAGCCGTTTCTTCGCTGGATTTTCCTACTTTTAATTGTTTTTAACGAATGAATTACATGGAATCGAATCGTCACAACTTTTATTTGATTTTGGTCCCTGATGAGCATACAGATTTTCTATCAAACATCAGGTTTAGAAAGAAAAAATCTGATTACTAGATCCTTTTAGGTCGTCTCTCTACTTTGAAACACTGCTTAGACTTCATATAAATCTTAAGTGCATCAAGTTCTATATCACATTCTATGTCAGACCTGAAACTATCTCCTTTATGTACGCAAAATTTTCTATATTAATGTATAGCGACTAACACTTCAATTACAACTACAACTGAAATGCCAACTACAGCGACAACTACAACTGCAATGCCAACTACAACTACTATTCAGCAGCTAGGTAAGCATTAAATTAACGCTTCTTGATCTTGGCACATACTAATTCTTTAATTAAATATATATACTTCCTTTGTGTACAATATTACTCTACAGATAGCTGAAGATAAGATTGATAAGATTGAAGATCTTATATTATGAATGATTCAACCCTTATTATGAGGAATAATCAAGTCATAGTAATCCCCATGTTGACTATTTTTTGCTACTATCGAAATTTGCTTCATTTTGTTGATATCTATGAAACGAATTCCATTCTTCTTTTTTCTTTGTTATAACTACATATAGTTCTTTTTAACAATAAAATGCTTGACTTTAATTTGAAAGAAACTTTTGACTTCAGATGTCATAAAAATGCACTGTATTCTAAAGATCTCCTCTCTTCTTCTTCTGTCTGAATTCAGATAACCTAAACATAAAGTGTCCGAATGTTGTCCAAATCTGTTTTTTTTAAGTATTTCATTCATAGCTTTGACTACCAAGATTATGAAGAGCTTCTTCCTTAGTCGTCAGGAAAGTGTAAACATATCAGTGTCGAATGCGGGATGTGGGTATATGTATAGGAGAAGAGAGGACCAAGACCAACATTCACACACACCCACACCCATCCTTAACGAATCACGTGAAAAGCGTTCTGGAAGTTTTGTACTGGACCCTTAGGGTTATCTAAAGACATGTTGATTATGATGTACATTTATATCCAAAGGATTCTAAATCTTCATTCTACTGATCCTCCTCACAAGAGTCAGATTAAGTCTTCTAAGAATATGTTCGATTTAAGATTCTGACAGATTTCATCATTTTGTAGCTTAAATCCTCGGTTGGTGTTCATAGAAATCCTCCAGGATTTAAGTGTGGTAGTACCCATTCTGATTGTCTTGCTAAGAGTATGCATTCAGAATTACGAATAAAATCTTCCAATCCCAATGTTTTCATATCTGCAGCTTGTATAGGATTAGCATTGATCTTCTTGGCATTTGAGAAATGGTTCTTCTTTAAAAATCTCTAACCTGAACAAGTCCCTACTTATACACAATCTCAAGGAACGAACAAGATTGAAATTGGAAATTGAGCAACTGTAAGAATCGTGATGAAGTTCTTTGTTTCAAAAGAAACTAGAATAGATTTCTGAATTATATCTTCAGGAAGAATATTCTTGAATGTTTTACCAAGTTCTCTCGAAGAAGAATGCTTCATTTGTAACACTTTCCTCCGTGAAAGAAGGAGAGATCTTTTCGACAGTGACGATGACGATTCATTTTCTTTTCTTGTTTATTGTAGTGATTCCTAACATTTCAGCCAATGCCCAATGGGCACAGAATGGAGTGGCCGTGGCTGGTGGTCACGGGAATGGTGATGCCACCAATCAACTTCGGGGCCCTGAAGGTCTCTTCGTTGATGATGATCAGACGGTAGTCATTGCTGACTTGGGCAATCATCGTATCGTCCAATGGAAAATGGGTGATACGAATGGAGAAGTGGTAGCTGGTGGTAAAGGCCAAGGAGATCGATTAGATCAACTGAATGAACCAAGCGATGTGCTGATCGACAGAGCGATGAATAATATTATTATTTGTGATCAAAGAAATCGGCGAATCGTACAATGGTCTCGTCGTAGTAACACAACTGAAGGAGAGGTTCTCATTGGCAACATCCAGTGTCGGGGATTGACCATGGATGATCAACGATATCTGTACATCTCTGACACCGAAAAACATGAAATAAGACGATATCAAATAGAAGACAAGAATGAAACTATCGTGGCTGGTGGCAATGGTCAAGGTGGTGGTTTCAATCAACTCAACTGGCCATCATACCTCTTTGTCGATCAACAACAGTCTGTATACGTGTCAGACCGTGATAATAGTCGTGTGATAAAATGGGATAATGGTGCAAAAGAAGGGATCGTCGTCGCTGGAGGTCAGGGTCAAGGGGACGCTCCGACACAATTGAACTGGCCAAAGGGAGTGTTTGTCGATGTCTTGGGTACCATTTATGTGGCAGACGACCGGAATAATCGAGTGATGCGTTGGCCTAAAGGAGCAACACAGGGCATCGTTATTGCGGGTGGAAATGGTGCAGGAGATGGAACAAATCAGCTCAAGGGTTCGCAAGGTTTGTCCTCTGATCGAGATGGTAATCTCTATGTTGTCGAGTGGGGAAATGATCGTGTTCAACGATTTGCTATCCAATAGACACACTCCGATTGATTATATTTTTTTCTTTCTTTCAAATAAATCGCTTCGAGTGAATTTCATTTCTATTCTATTCGCACACTTGCACGCGAGACCAGAAACCACCCTGGTGAAGCCGTAGCGAGCGTGAAGCTCATGCACTCATGGGACAAACTTAAGCCATTCACATGAGATGTGCCAATAAGTCTGGTAGAAGCTCGATCGTGTGCCACGGACCCAAAGATAGTTCCTAACCAAGCTTTGAAGGACTACCCTGAAGTCCTTCAAATTACAGGGGTCTAAGTTCAATGGACATGACTCACTTCCTTTCTCCTCGCTACTAATGCTCATTTCGCTGAGTCTCACACTAATTCCTCTCAAAAAAAAGAAAGAAATTATTACTCAATGATTGATACTGGGTGATGACGCGATAATATTGAGGACTAAAAGAAAAAAAAAATCAACTAAAGCAATATGATACAGAGAGGAATGAGATAACTTATCCTTACAGGAGAGAAAAACACTTACGATTTCTCATTGAGGATGATAACCAGTATTTATTTGATAACGTAATCCCGTGTTTGTGTTGTCGAATTCAAATGTAGACCCATGATTTCTTTGGGGACATTCTAAATACTATAATATCTTATTTCGATTTATTGATAATGAAGAGTACAAAAAATATGAATCGACATGCTTCATATAAATACGAAAGAGAGAAAGCGACGAACCGGAACAATATAAATAAAGGTGGTTACTTTCGAAGTGACATATCTAATGTGATTCTTTTTTGTTATAATTGTATAGTTATATTCGCTCGTTAATATACGTTAATTACGATTAAAAGAATGCTTTAGAGTGATTGTATTCTTCCAAGCTATATTTGTTGATTATTTATTCTATTATTTAATCATCAACTCATAGCTATTGAAATGCAAGATGAGATAAAAAGTCAAACAAAAGGCCGTCATCACCTTCAACATTTTGATTCTCTGTTTTACAAATCGAGAAACATATTTTACAATGTTTTTTTTAGGGATGTGGGTGTGCGTGGTTGTGGGTAGGTGAATGTATGTAAACTAGTATCTCTACCCACATCCGATTTATTTCTTAGATCAGAATCACAACCAACCGCGACAAATTTATATAATGCAAAGGTAATAACTATGCCACTCATATGAAAAATAACTATTATAATGAAACAACCGTTTTTTATTGTGCTAAATTCTGCATTAGTTTTGTTTTTGATGTAGCACTATGATGGAATATCTTAGGGACTTTATTGTTGCTTTGTTAGAAAGATCAAAGCATCTAGCGCAAGAATACATAAAAAGAATTTGATTGGAAATGTGTTTCAACGTCTATGAAAATTTTAGAACAAAAGGCTTCGGAAGACTCTTCTGCAACTTTGGTCATGGTTTTTTATTCCCATATATTTTTTTGAGCTTTTTTTGATTATCCACTTTCGGAATTTTCGAGCAAAGTACATATGCAACTGTTTATTACGATGAAGGCTGAATATCTAACAGGGAAATTGTATCCTATTCCAAATAATATTGTTTGGTAGATGACTCAATAAGTTTTCCTTCTTATATATAATATAATGCTTTTGGCAATCTCTCTTTCAAAATAGACTTTACTCTTTTAACTATAGTCGGCAATGATCAAAAATATTGATATCAGATAATATAATAAAACCGTTTCTTTTGACAGCTATGAAACATCTAGAAAATTTCTTTTTTCGTACACCAATATTGATCAATCCCTAGATTTTATAACTCGAATTAGACGAATACATATATAATTACATCTAATTAAATGATAACTTTTCTAAGTTCAAAAAAGTTGGAGAAGAGTTTTCCGAAGCCTTATTGTTTCTAACAAAAAAAAATGACGAAGTCTCTACAATATTTTGTCAAAGAAATGCTCTTAACCTCCTTGTCATATCCACGGTGACCTATACCTATACTCATATTTATTAAAACCATGATGTGTAAAAGTTTTTCTTTTCTTTTTCTCATGAAAGGAATTTTCAATAAGAAACAAAATAGTTAATCTGAGAATTTTCTGCTATTTTAGAATTGATTTTTCATGATCTTTTTTAAGTCTCTTTGAAGTGTGGATAATAGAGAATTTCTATGAAACAAAACGTTGTATTCTATAGCCCAAAACTAGCTAAATCAGGGATAGATTGCATCTTGCTCAAGGAGTAATGTTTCTTCAGAATTTTCAACTACATAAAATTGAATACTAAAATTCTGAATCCATTGAAAAGATTTTATTTTAATATGAAAAACAAGAAGTAAAATTTTCGAAAATTGGTCAAAAGAAAAATCTTTTGATTACTATTCAAAAATTTCAAAGACTTCTGTTACAAAAAAAATAAAACTTCTAGTAAAAAGAAAACGTGATAACAAAAAAAGCTTCTATTGAAAGATGTTTCTATTTAACCACACGATTTTTTATATTGCAAAGCTCGTTGTTTGTATTCATCTGCACGTTTTAAACATAGTGTCGCATGTTCCTGTAATTTGTTTTGTAAATCATTCCATAATCGTTCTAAAAGATCATCTCCATGATCAAACATCATCATTTTATCACAATAATCCATGCCCCATTCCGAATAAGCAGAAACTGTTCCGCAAAAAAGAAAGATTTGTACAAGATTTGAATATTCATAGATTACTGGAACGACTTCTTTAGCAAACGAACCAGAAATAATAAGATAAATGGGCTCATTTGGATGAGATTGAATGTACTGAATACAATCATTAACATCTGTGAATGTTTGAACATCGCCAAGTTTAGCACGAAAACTACTCATTGGATCTGACGAATTTGCATCAAGCCAAAGAATTTTATATTGCAAGATCATTGTTTAATCTGTTCTGATTGATTAAGCTTGACTGAAGAAAATATGGTACTTGTTTTATAATTTTCGTACATATATATACGTGCCATTTGAAAGAACAATCATGTTGAAGTCATATTATCTCCATCGAAAATTTCAGCTTATTCATTTGTCTTGCCTAACATAAATAATGATTCATACACAGTGCCACATTGTCAAACATGTTTCATCTACCACTATACACAAGATCAAAATATTTTTCGTTCTTATCTTTGTAATAGTTTTGTTTTTCCAGTAAATAAAGGAGTAGAAACGCAGAAAAGAAAATACGAGCCATTCACCATAATCCATCAGTACGCAAAGAATAATCTAAGAAGAAAAACATATAGTTTTGTATTTCATCATACTCCTCTGTGATTCATGAAGCTTCTTCGTACTTTAATATACTGTTCCCAACTTCTAGATACTTTATCATGTGCTTTGATACTTCTCTTTATATTCTCATAGTTCATGATAAGTCCCTATGCTTTTGATTACTTCAAAAGTATAGTAGTATACAAAAAACGTTACCGTTAGATTTTTCAAAATTTCTTCTTCTGAAAGTGATGAATATTTATAGTCTACAACTACAGCTATTAACAACAAAAATCGTTGTTCGTTCGATTTAATAAGAGCGACACGGCACCTGACTTTCTTACAAACCGTCAAAAAACTTAGAGTTTAAATATTAATTCTAGGTTAGTCTTTGTTTGAATATCTCTTCAATTCATCGAGATTTGAGTTTTCTTCTAGAGATAAGTTGCTCGACCACTAGTCACAAATTTTCAACTAACTTAAAGTTTATGTCATTAAATCTTCAGGCAATTATTTCTTGCAGATATGACTCACAAATTGCCTTGCATATTACTGTATATCTTTCAGTCTAAAAGTACTCAAACCATTAGATTTATCTTTTATTTGATTATATGCTTAAAGGGATTTATCAGATTTATAAATCTCATGTGAACCAAAGAAATTTCATCATTCTGTTTTGTATGCAGCAACATATTTTCGTAAGATTAGTTACATGTTCCTTTTTTATTTTATGGCTTCATAAAAATAATGTATTTTGAAATTATAGTGAACTTTCTAGTAACGTGTAGAGTCGGTCGGATTGGTCCCAGATCCGATGGGTTCTAATCGTCTGAGAAATGTATAGGGTGCACTAGTCACCAAGTACAAAAAACTGGAAAAACGTATCTCGTATCTTCGGAGAGACTATTCAATTTCGATTAGAAAATTTCATTGAGAGTACCAAAGTACGGTTCAATTGGACCCCGAAAATATTGGACCCAATGGGCTCTATTATCGTATATCATGTTTTGTTTTGTTGTTTCTTGATACTTTATCACATATTGACATAGGGTTGTTTTTGTTTTCTATTTATTATCATTGTTGTTCCTACCAAAATACATTTGTAGTTAAGGTGTAGGCATGCGAATGTGTGTAAACTAGTACCTCCACCCACATCCACACCCTAATTCATCGACACTAATACTGGAAATGCTATGATTTTTATTACTAAATAGTAAGTGTACTACATCAATTCAATTAATTATCCACTAAGATGTATTAATTCTGTTCAACAGAAGATGCCTTAGACGTGATAGCGTTCTGGTGCTACTTGAATTAATTCATCAGAGATTTGACGAATTGGCAGACTGCCAAGGCCATCAATCGTTGATTGTGAAACGGGAAAATCCCAAAATTTGAACAATGGAACCAAATTAAAGCCTACTTGACGCGAGAAGGTTGTGATCCAGTGATCTATCTTCTCTTGATCACTATTCAGATTCGGTTTAGTTTCTTCATATTGACGAAAAATAGCCTTGTAGCTGTCCCAACCAAATTCTCTTGCTAGTTGTGCGTAGATAAACAAACCAACGCCGGCACTTGCTTTCCATTCATCGAAAGGCGTTCCTTTCTGTATACTCTGTTTCGCCTTTTCTATTTTATCGGTGAGCCAAGGATGAATCCATGGTTGAATCTTACAAATAACATCCATGGCGTGTAAAGAGAAAATATTCACAGTTACTTCACCCGCAAAACTGAAAGCTAAACAAAATCTTTTTCTTTCAAAATATCTAAGTGTATCCATGTAATACTTACTCCACCAGTAACGCTGCATATTATGGCCGAGTTCGTGAAAAATACCCCAATAGCCATCCTTTTCTAGATAATCATTATTCAGTAAGAAATAGTCAGCTTTTGGATCAATTACATCCAAATGAGTGACAACCGGATAGCCACTATCTAAAATGAATTGATGTATTTTGGCAATCAAGAAACTCATATAAGAATTAAGTTATTCTTACGCATATAGCCAGCCGATGGTTGTTCATCGGATACGATGCGTTCCCGACGTCCCGGTGTAGTACCTCGCAATTCATGATGAGCCACTACTACGGAATCATAGAAACGAAGAGCTCGATCTAATTCAGCACTGTCTAAATGGCGCACGCTTTGGGATGGAAGATTGAAAACAATATATTGGCCAGCAATATCTGTCCATAGGCCCTGTGCACGAACACGTAAATCTTCCCAACGTTCTACTCGATCCGAATCCATGAGATCGTAAGTAGGTGTGAGAACAACATTCTGTAGTCTAACACTAATGGAATTCGATTCACCAGTAGAACTCTCAAGAAAGAGAAGACCACCAAAAGCTGAACTCATTTGAACAGTGGTACCAGACAGCGGTTTGCATATAGAAATGCAGTGCCATCGACGTAATTCATTGCAACTCTAATTAATTACGAATATGTGTTGATATGAAGAAATGTTTTGTATGAATACATACCGCGAGATCGTCACTGTGACAACCGATTCGAGCTGACCATCCGCTTACACCAGTTTGTTCTGATATGACGATTTGTATGGTAGTACCCGCAGGTACATAGTATCCTAAAAGAAAGATAATGAACTTGATATCGTTCCAAGATCTCTGGGCAAAAAATAACATTGTAACCATTGTATCCTTTCATAATTTGAGCATTTTCAAACATACCTGTGCAATACCATTCGTTGGCCGCCTTTGACTGAATATTAACCGTGACATCTGTTTCAATAGACGGTGAATCATCAAAATCACCAGGAAATTCCTTTATACCTAAGATTGACATATATCTTACAATTTCTCGCTAAATGTAACCATACTCACCAGGAGCTTTAGTATCAGATAATCCACATAAAATACCACACAGACCCATCGATTGTTGTCGCAATGATTTATCTTTAATCGGAGATGCTTTCGTTGGGATAACATCATTTCCAGCATTCAGAACCATATTTTGTAGAGTTTCAATCGATAAATCAGGCAACGTATCGCCTAGTTCCTTGATTGTCGATCCGATGATAGCCAAATATTCGCCATTATTCGGTTCGCTCGCCAGTGCCTGAACAACATTGGTAACATTTTTGAATTTGATCAAATCAGGTTTAAATGGAATTGGATCATCACAACCAGCCAAATTACCGGTCACTTTGATACCAATAGAATCACAAAAACGACCAGTTGTGAAATCCGAAAGCGATTTGTCCTTATTGAAGTATAGCCAATTCCAGGGAGCTACTCCACAAACTAGCGCTCCACCTCCTTCTAAAAAGGTACGCTAGTAATACAATAATATGCAACATATTATTAATGATAAAAAAAAGACATGATCCTATTTACCAAATCGTCCATGAATGCATCGCTTTTAAAATTATGTCCATTCCAAACAAGAATAGTTCCTTTTTCCTTGACACTGCCCATCGATTCTGTCTGATCGATGGATTCGAATTGTGCATCTTTTCCTTGAGACAACCATTGACGACAGTTTTCAATAAAACACTGGTCTTGAGAGTCATTAGCAAGAAAAAAAGCAGGATAATCTTTATTTCCTAATACCAAACATCGACCATTGCCAACTCGAACGGCGACAATGGCAACCTTTGTTGAGTCAGCACCACATACTATAGCGCGTGTATCATTCGACACTGGAATGAGAGCTTCAACAAAACGGATGTACTTGACAGATGTAACATCTTGGAATAAATTTTGAGGTACTTGATCGAATTCGTTGTCGTCCATATTCTTGTTTCGTTATTGCCTAGTCAAGAAATAATTATGTCCATTCAAAACATAAACGATGTAATGTGATCATTTGCTTACCTTCGCAAGTAGTATCGATCGGAATGATTCGAATAAAGAGAAGAGAAAGAATACATTAACACCAATATATATTTATATATATACTATGTTTTAAAGCGTATCGCACATACTTTTTATTACCGACTTATTTTTTTGTTTGCATTCATATTTTTTGCTTTTTGTTCTTGTAGAATGCATGAATGTGACAAGATATAATAAATATAGAGCGAATGAATTTGATAAAATATAATGAATGTAAAGAATATGAAGGTCACAATATATAATAAGTGGATAAACTAATTTGTTTTTTCAAAAAATGACTTGAATAGCAACACATTAGAATGATACTCCAGTTAAACTCATGAGAGAACATACTTGAGTGTGTCATCTGAGAAAATGTTTAAAAGTATTCTGTGACTATTTTGACAGGAAATTGCAAGAAAAATACGAAGAAAATATGAAAAAAGAAAATAATTCTGTCATTTATGTATCCGTTTCTAACTCGTGTTTTCATACATTAGTAAAAAGAAATTCTAAAGATGTATACAGTATGTACGTTACGGGTGAATTTGGAATTTAGTTGAAATTGGAAAAGTGTAAAATCAGAAACATTGCTAGAACAGGGAATACTTTGTTTGTTTTTCTAGAATGAGTATAAAGTTCATCATAATTTTTCTAATTATGGGAACATGCTAACAGTGAATCATTGGTTAAATTTGATCGACAAAAATGTTTTTTTTTGTACAAGGAGCAGGTTTTTTTCGCTACAATGAATATTACTTGTTAATGACTTTTTGATAACGCGAAATACTCTGACTTTGAATCATTGATTACATTTTATTGAAGAAAAATGTTTTTTTTTCTACAATGAGTATTGCTTGTTAATGACTTTTTGATAATGGCTATATGCTGACATTGAATCGTTAATTACATTTGATTGAAAAAAAATATTTTTTTTGTACAATGAGCAAGAATTTTTTTCTATAGAATGAGTATTACTTGTTTACAATATTTTTCGATAGTGAGGATATGTTGACATTAAAAGATAGATGAAATTTAAAACAAAATTTTTTTTATGGTGTTTTTGTTTTTGAAGGAGCAAGTATGTGTGATAACGGTTCTTAAAAGCAAGGATGTATAGCATCATATGTTTGTTTTATAATTATGATATCAAAGTATAATAAATTATTGTAATCACTAAGCAAATACAAGGCTATATATGTTGTCTAAATACCATCATCAATGGTATATGATGCATAATTATTCTCGTTGAATTTTGCAATCGGGCTTTCCGATAGAGCTGTAAAAAGATCCAGAGAAACAGGTTATCTAAATTAATCACTTCAGCTAGTTTGTAAAGCTTTATTCATATTATAAATTTTTTCTAAGAGTATATTTTTCTCTATTTTTTTGCGCATTCCAATCTCAACTGAAATTCTCATATCAACTGTGACAACGGTAACAGTCAATTACTCATGTCAAACTTAATTGAATAAAACTTTTAAAATTCTAGTAACTTGTAATAAATCATTAGGAATTGTTCTTCTACACAATTGACACATACTACATTACATATACTCGTTACAGTTTTTTGTCATACAAAACCGATTCTATAAATGTGGGTGTTGGCAAACAGGATATCCACATCCACTACAAGCATAAAAGAACACAATATGGAATCCACACTTTTACCTATGATCTTTTTCTCTTCTCTATTGACTTTTGGATGTAATTCTTCACTCTCTAAATATATGTTATTTAACAATTATGATGTGTCTCAAACTAGAACTTATCATTGTTGAAGTTTGATATTGATTATAAATTCCGGTCAATAACTAAGATGAAGAATCATATTACTTCAAAAAGCTCTCTTTGGATTTCAAAAAATATAAAAATTTAGAAAAAACATCAGTTTCTATATGTATCTTGCTGTTTTATCGATATATATTTTTGTAGCGGTACATAGATATATGTATAGTAGAAATTCAAATGGACAAAAGAATGGTTTCTCTTCATGGAAAGACTTTTTCAGTTGATAATGTAGAAGAGTTAAATCGATCAAGTTGGTCTCATTCAATATCGATGGGTTTTTGTTATGCATACGTAACAGTTTTCATAGTCACTACAAGAGCTGAGCAGCAGAATAAGAGTCGCCAGGTAACTTTGTTCTGTGTCTTTTTAAGGTTTTTTCGCTTAAAACACAAACTATTTTTGAATAAATCTTGTGGAACTCACATATTTTTCTGAAGAAAATAGTGAGTGTTGTTTTTAAACAGACATCACCCATACATACCTTAGAAATTGGGGTTAAATAGTGGATATCTGCAACAGTTTTAATTGTAATTTCATCTATTTATTATAATAAAGTTACGATAATCAGACTGATGAAGACATGTGATTTCCATATCTCCGCCTCAAAGAAGATGCGTTAACAATTTTTTTTTGGTCATTATAGTGTCGATCAATCTTCGAAGATTTAAGATATCTTGCACATCAATATCTCTTGTTTGGATCCATAGATGAAACAGATACATTTGGATTTGAATCACTAAATGGAATATTTAGAGGAATGTTACATCTTTTATCTACATCCACACCAACACTCTAGGGAAACAGCTGATTCTAAGATCCCATGATTCTATTGATTTCAAGTGATTCTAAGGGATTCCACGGATTCCAGCTGATTCTGCCCCTCGGAATCATATATTTTCCCTTGAATTTTCTCCTCTATTGCAAGGATAAAACATGGTGTTGTCCACACCGATCTAGGGGTTAGCAGCGATTCTCTTTCATATGGCCCGAATAATACCATGCTTTCTCCTTTCAAAACCTAAGTTCGACCACCAATATGTACAAAAACAGACGACATAAAAAATGAATCCAAGTGGTTTTACAAATGACTCTGAGTGATTCCGAATGATTTCAATGATTCCGAGTCATTCCAAGTGATTCTAGGTGATTCTGCTATCTGGAATCAGCTGTTTTCCCCCATTGACATCACTACTTTGTAATCGTTTTGTTGTTTTCATATTGTAATATCTAAAATGATGGCGAAAGAATATTCATATACATACAATAACATGTTATTTAATACTAGTTATCTATAGCAAAGAACAGAATGTGATAATAAAAACTGACTCGACTGCTGTATCAAAGAATAAACATAGAATTTCATAATTTATAAGTCAAACCGTTACTCTTTGATTTACGTCACTAAATGTATCATAATGAATAAAGAGCTAAAAATTTGGATTTATGCATAACTTTTCACGGGCTTTCAAATGGTATAACTCATTTGAAAAGAAAAAAATTTTCATATACATGTTTGGTTGGTTTTCTCATGGACTCTTTTGGGACATTCGATAGTTTTTTCTTAGGTTTGAAAAATTTCCATCTGACATTGTACAACAGATGGAATTTTGTCGAAATCAAACAATGTATGAAATGAATTTTTTTGACTATAATGACTAGAAAAACAATTTTTTCACTTGAACAAAAAGTCGAATATAGTTTTTATTGTCAAGGAAATTCCTTTCTCATTTTTTAATCTACCGATCTGTCTAGAAACTTTCGCTTACTAGAAGAAAAAGATCTATCTGCAAATGATAGCAGTAATACTTCCTTTTTTTTTCTATGTGTCGGAAAAAACCCAGCGACTAGATGAGTCATTATTTCACTTTTGATTTTGATATTTTCTCTGAAACAAAAGTAATTGCATCATCCTATGGCAACGTACTCGTTCTGTTGTCATTGTTGTGCAATACTATGTACACTATTTAAATATGTTTGTTTCTTTTCATTACTTCAATTTCTTGGCATCAATAAAATGACTTCAGCATCTGGCTATATTACTGAATTTAATAGAGAGACTAACTTTGGTTACATTCAAATAGACAACAACAAACAACTTCTTCGATTTCATCGCTACAGTTTGAAAAAGAATTCGAGAAGATATGTAGCCAATGGTGATTCAACGTTTGTTGGCGAATTATTCGATTTCGATATTATTCAGCGTCCAGATGAAGCAGTAGAAGAAGCAGTAAATATAAAACATCGTGTTCTAAACTGCACACATTTCGGATGTTCAAGAATTAAAGCATTTACAAATATAAAAGCATTAAATGATCATATTGAAAGTAAACACTGTCGAGTCAAGAAAGATACAAAAACGTCGTCAGAAGAGGTGGAAAACGATCAAATTGAGAAAGTAGTGGTTACACACCCGAAGCTATCAAACAAACGCAAAAGCAAGACAGGTGAGTGGAAAGATTGTATTTCTTGTACCAAAAGAGTTAGAGAGATGGTAGTTCATTTATCGAGACTAGAAAAGAGAATAAACCTATGGAGTGTAGTCACAAAACCGAGTTTCTTGACTAATGCAATAGCAAATTATTCGTTTTTCGACTTCATCTTTCCGAACTATCAGTATGAAATTTCATTTCAAGTTGTAGAAACGGTATTGCTGTAGACTCACATTCTTTTTTTTCCTTCTTTTAGCTAACAAATCTGCAAGAATATTGCCATTTATAGTTAATCTTCCAGCTCATTCAGCCGCAACCATAGGCCGTTTCATTGGTAAAAATGGTGTTAATCTCAAACGATTTCAACATGAAAATAATGTCACTCTTAAAATTTTGAATTCTCAAACAAAATCAACTTTTAGTCCATTACAGAATTCAAATATACAAGTTCAAATGAAACCAAGTAATAATGGAGTTAATGTCGATTTAATAAGTAAAAAAATAAAATCAATGTGGGAAAAAGCAGTTCGTGAACAGAGAGAAGAAGAAGACAAATATGAACAACGCCTACTAGTGCGACAGCAATACAAATCACAAAGACGATCATGCAATTCAGAGTCGATATATATTGAGAGCGATACGAGACATTCAACAGCATTTGTATTGTCTGGTGATGAGCTGATACGACGACGAACAAGGCGTCGAACAGAACCAACGTTGAGAAGACAAAAAGAACATTCAACCTTGAGTTTAGAAGGACATCGATGTGCTGCAACATGTGATCGTGAACAGACAAGAGGAGGAAGTGCAGCATTCATTCACCAAAAGAAGAAGACTAACATGAAAGATAAGCAATGGATAGTGAAAGAACAACTATATGATGTGTAAATAGATTGTAGCTATTTTTTTTGGTTAAATTAGAAAATATTAATAAAAATGATTACTGATAATACAGTTTGTGGTAGACACCCTGCTGAACATCTAGAAGCAAAGCATAACAAAAATCAGTCATCAAATTATTGCTAGTCAATCCTACGACTCCATTTAAATCGGGCACAAAAGATGATCAATTCCAATAATTTCATCTACAAGAGAAGGATATTGTACTTATAACGTTATCGATACAGCCAGTCTGTTCGAATATAGCAGAAGAGAGTCTAAGTTGGTTTTTTGATGATCGGTGCAGGAATAAAATTGATTGCAGGTGTAACAGCAGTTGTTCTTCTATAATTGAAATAGTTGAGTTTCTTCCAAAGTTCGGGTAAAGAAACTAGACAGATAAATGGAAGGACTGTTGAAGTAACATAGAGAAGCATCACAAAATAAGGCTCCATGGAAAATGAATAAAAGTTGTTGTTTAGTAAAGCCAAGAAAACCAACACGTAATAAGGCAGATTGGTAATCAGGTGAAGTGACTAAATCTCTAACATCTGCACAGTTATTCTTCGATGTCGACTCCAATTCATATTCTGACGCATTCGCTGTTTTTGCCAAAGTACTCTGATCAATAGAGTCACACTGAAAATGACAACCAGACAAGTAGGTATTATGCCATGTGCGATGGTGTCATACATGGAAAGTGGTGGATTGTCTGATAAATAGCATTCGTCTATGCAATTTTCCGTAGTAGAATCGTAATAAGTCAAGCATGAATACACCAAAATGGTAAAAACATAGACGAAAAAAGGATAAACAATACAAATGATCATGGACATATAATGAACAAGTATGCGTTTGTAGTGTGTACAGATGAGATTATTGTGAAATATGAGGATATGTCTTTCGAACGATGCAAAAACCATTATCAATAAACTTGTTAGGAAAAGATAATAGTTGATGAATAGCAAGAAAAAACAGAAACTTTCGATTTTTTGCCATAAGAAACCTGTTCGAAATTGGTTAAGTAAGTTTGGAATGTCCCCAGTGATCATGAAGAAGTTGCTTGCAAGGAAAAAAATGACGACATGATTGTAAATTGCACGACGAAGTGCACTATTTGTGAATAGATGATAAAAATCAAAAAAGTAACACGGAAGAGAGATAGTCATGAGAATTTGCAATGTGAGGTATTGGTCAAAATTGGTACTAGACGTGTCTTCGATTGTGGGTGTGGGTGTGGTATGGGTGCAAATGTCTCTTATCAACACCCACTCACCAACACTGACATCCGCACTCACTTCCACCCACACCCGGGTGTAGATGGAATAAGTGAGACATTTGTTTGAGAAGGTTTTTGACGATCAACAAGTTGTTGTAACTTCGCTTTGTTCTTTTGATCTCGACGAGTAGAACTAAATGATATTTTGTTTAGTTACATTAAACCAACAGATGAACTTCGTCAACAACAAATAAATCAAATTTTACTCACGCTCAAGAAAGCCTACAATCATTATTGTCAATAAAATATCTGTGATATTTTGTTCAATTACACTCTTACTACCTCTTCGAATATCCCCATTGAATCAGAATCAGGTCAAGGAAGAGAAAAACGAGATTTATAAATTTCTATGGAAGATTATCGAAACCAATAAAAGGAAAAAGAAAAGTACTGTTGAATAATGGATTCCTAGTTCTGTTCAATATCCTGTTATAATCGTTCAACTTCTTCGTGCTCGCTTTCCGAGTCCTGAAGCAGATATATTTTTATCTAATTGCACTAAATATGACATAAAAGTCTTCATCAAATATATGTCGTCCTAGAACTTACCTCATTGTTTTCGAACAGAGAACAACAGTTACTGTTATTGTAATAAAATAGAATGTGAGTAAGGATAAATAAACAATGTGTTTCGCTTTCTAATGATATATAAATATATCAAAAGCTCTCTTCGTGCGTACATGCATGCTTTTTCACAGAACGAAAAAAAACACAGTTCCTCTTACATTCCACGTGGTTTTTTCATACAATGACTCTTACATCCCATGCGACTTTTCTCCACAATGTCTTTTTGTATGCCACATAAACATAATTATATATAAAATCAAACTCTAAATCGATTTTCTAGTGTAAAAATGCGGAAAAATACATTTTTTTAATTGTTTTATCAGATAATAAAATTTTGACAATTTTTGAAAAATTTGCGTTTCGTAAAAATAAAAAACAAAAATAACGACAAGTCCGATTGAGCTCGTTCAAACGGTGATCGAAAGGCCATCATCCAGGCTATCTCTGAAACACATCAAAAAAAGCGATTCTTAAAAAATTTTTCACCTAAAAAGATGGGGGCACCCTTAAAAAATGTTAAAGTGAATATCAATGGTATATTTCGGCGTTTTTATTCTCATTTTTGGTATATAAACCAGTTGCGCACGTTTTTTTCTGCAATCTTCTGTTACGCTATGATCTCTACTCAGAAAAATTTATTTGTCAGACGAATAAAAGTTGAGGCTTAACCTTGCTATTTGGTTACATTTATTGGTTTGTGCAGTTGTGGCTTAGTCTTTGGTGCTTTCAGGAGGAAATGGATTACCAGAAAGATCCTGCCACGGGAACACACGGAGAGATGAATGGCTTGTAGTGCGATAGGCAGAAAGTCCGAGTTGTTCGATGTCACGCTCGACCATCGTCCAGTTATAGTCAAAGAAAGGATTATGCGCATTACCCAAACGATCGAAAATCCGTCGACGTTCTTCAAAGGACAAGCGCAATCACGTTCGAAACACGTGACTGTTGCTCATATTTTCAACACCACGGTGAACGGTGTAACAATCCATCAAAGTGATTTCAGCAGGTTGCGGTTGCCATCTGTAAGCCTCGCCTGTTTCTGCAACTTGAGCATTCATTTCCCAAAAGAAATCGTGGACTCGCTCGTCAAGACCAGAGAAGTCGAAAGGCTGTATGTAATAAGCGGTGGGCAACACATCCGAGACCGTATAAGTGTGGTTTGTTCGACATTTAGGATTCCATCGGGCTCCCTGAAATCCGTCCACATGACAAGGTGCCTCCCGATGAAGTGTGCCCGGTTCTACCCACCGCTGATCAATCGTTAAATATCCGTAATAGTCAGCATGATGCGGATTGATGTGGTGCTCCACATCGATAATGCGCTGAATTACGTCAGTGAATTGTGAGAGCACACGAGGAATTCGATATTCGTCGTAGTCCGGCATCTTGATAGGCATATCCAACACTCGCACAGCACCTGCTTTTGTGAACAGGGTGAGCTCACTAGTATTCAGTAAGCCAAGGGAAACAGGGCGTCGCGGATGCAAGAATTCAGTCAAAGTCCAAGTTGAGTTGATACAACGCAAGATCGGTGAAGCATCAGGTAAAGAAATCTCATTGATGCCTGCCTTCAGCGTAATTGGAGTGTCACGCGCATCGAAAATGGGCACTTCATATTTTTTGCCCCGATAAAAAAACACATCCATGCGCAACAATCCGCCTCTATCCAAGTCATCCGGAGGTTTCATCGTTCTTTCTCTTCTCTCTTCACTCTCTTGCTGTTTTGTTTGTTTCATTACTTCCTGTTGTGAATTTCTAAAAAAAAAATAAACACTTGATCTGTTTATACAACACACACAAGAAGAAGTAAGGCCGAAGGTGTTTATGCAAGGAGAGATACAAGACAGAAAAGTGGAAAGTGTTTATGAATGTGTAATCAATAATGGAGAAAATAATATGGAAAATGTGAAGAGGATGGAACAGGCTCAAGAGGCAGAAATCTTGTGCCAAAGAGATCGGTTAAGTTCGATGTGTTGGGAAGCAGGAGAAGGGAGAAATAAGGCGCATCCAACCTGGCAGCCTTCAGGATAAGTATGGCTGTTGGTCTCTCTGCATACAACTCCATCCACACTCCATCGTCTCACCCACACATTCTCAAGATGGTGTGTGGATTCAAAGTTGAGAACATTAATTCTGGAATAATATGACTCTCATGACACTCACAATTGGTTTGTCCTGTGTGTATCTTATAGATGGCAATTTATATAAGGGTCCTTTGAGCTCCAACATATGTAAATAATATCGGAGAACATATCATGATTCACAGTGTTCATTTATTCAATTACTCTAGTGTCAAACGCCTCATCATCCGTTTATGTGGAGATTATATGTGTCGAATGGCGCATACTTCAAGTGTAGGAACGATTAGTCGTAGTTGCAATATGACTGTTGAATTCTATAAGGTTACGCCTTTTGATACCTTCTTCTATACGGATTAAACGTTCCTCTCATATTCTACTAGAATCATCGGTTGACTTTATCGTACTCTGTGCGAAAAATGTAAATAAAGCTGCAACTTCCTTATCATACGTTACATGACGTAGTAGTATTTAAGAAATTCGCTTGCATAAAAGTGTAGCAAACGTCATGGCATGGTTGGCAACATTTGCTAATTTAACGTCGCTTCACCTGACTATTAACTTTGTATTTTTTCGTGTAATTTGAAAAAAAATCCACCGCTGACAATCAACAAAGAGCGTCATTCTCCGTTTTCTTATCAGATATTTGCTATGCAAATGAAAGCAGCCATACAAGCGTATGGTGTGCAACCGTATCTACTTCTCGCGCACAAAGAACAAAGAGAAGGAATCTGCATCAATCAAGTTTTTTCTCACTCTATCAATGACTCATGCAATACGAAAGACACAGTATCGTTGTCAAAAACTAGGAAGAGAATCAATCATGTTCTTTCCAGCCTTCCCAAATGGATTAAATATTCAATATTGTGTTCTTGATCGATTACTATCCGATTAGCGTAAAAATAAAATTTTCAAAAGCTTATTTTTCAAAGCTATCCGAACCATTGCCAAAAGCCCATAGTGATACAAAAATCAGAAACACCAAGGGGGGGGGGGGAGGCGGAGCTTCTTGAATCTAAGTGAGATTCGTATGATCTCTCTCTCTTCCACTGCTAGAATTTGATGGTCAAACTTTTCTCGAAGCATCAAGCAAATATGTTTTTCAACTTCACTAAACCCACAAAAGGAACGAATAAAAAGAGATACGACTAAAAGCTTCAAAATTTAGTTTTCTTTGTTCATTCTTGGATCACAAATTACCTCAAGTACGGGTGTAGATGTGTGTGGGCGTGAGTCTTCTTTTCACAAACATCCACATCCACATCCTCATACAAGATATTATCAATGGATCATAAATGCAGCTTACTATCATTATTGGTGCAAGATTTCTGAGACCACGACTTTTCGTAGGATCTTATATGATCATATAAGATAATGATATAGGATCCGATACGAACGTACAAGAATTTGTGATTGATCTTACTATCGGATTCCTCGTCCTAGGCATATGATTCTCTGTATCATGGTAATTTGCTCTGGGCATATTCGTTCAATACTTTAGCAGATGTTTATTGTTCCAGTAGATTATTTTATTGTTCAATATCGGCTAAGCTCTCAAAGTATTGCTTTCGTTGCGGACCAAGGGTGTCTCATTTGTGTCCCAATTTTTAATTCGTGTATGAATTTTTTGTTAAAGGGTAAAGAGGAGTTTAGAGATGAGGGCACAAAATTCATTGATAAATTAACAGAGAAAAATGTTCTGCTTGCTCGATTTTTGAAATAAGAAAAGACGAATGTTTGTCACAAATTTAGAATTATGATGCTTTCAATGAAGAATCTATGTGACGTTCTACCAAAAGAAATATTTATATAATTTAGTCACAACTAGAAGAAAAATGCCAACGTTGTAATACATATACAAGAACAACAACTATTTCGACTTATACGAAAAGAAGGATATTTCAATTCTATCAGTTTATTAGCTGGCATATACATTTTCCACGACGTTTATCGAGCCATATATGAATTATAAATTATATTTAACATCGAATTTTTTAAATTTTTTTGCGTACTATGATGCTTATGTTCTTCTAAATTTTCATTTATATTCAAACTTGATTTAGGCATCTGCTCGAATACCTGTACATTTTATCTGTCACTACCTTTAATTATCACACACTCTTTCATTTTTCCTCTCATTATATTTGAATGAAATCGAAGTTGATAAAATTTTGATTGTCGTATAATCTTAGATGTGTATGAACCATGTCGTTTTGAAAAACATCACGGAAGTGCTCGGTATACAAACGAAAGCATAATTCAGTCAATCACTAGCGTATTCGACATGACATATTATTTTGAATACGTGTACATTCTTTCTATCATTAGCTCTGATTTATTACTCATTCTTTCTATTACTAACTTCGATTTATTACTCATTCTTTCTATTACTAACTTTGATTTATTACTTATTCTTTCGTTTTTCCTCTCAATATATTTGAGTGCAATCGAAATTGATGAAGTTTTGATTGACGCATGACCTATATGTGTGTATGTACCATTTCGCTTTGAAAAACATCACGGGAGTATTCAGTATACAAACGAAAGCATGATTCAATCAATCACTAGCGTATTCGGCATGACATATTATTTTGAATACGCGTACATTCTTTCTATTATTAGCTTTGATTCATTACTCATTTTTTCTTTTTCTCATTATATTTTTGCGCAATCGAAATTGATGAAGTTTTGATTAATGTATAATCTAATATGTACATGCGCCATTTTGTAAATAAGATAGTTTATTTGAAATAAAAAAAAAAAGATACTGAAAATTTAGAAACAAAGGAAAATATGAAGAAACAAAAAAGAAGCGTTCGAACATGGCTTTGATGCTTGGTAGCGAGCTGGGATGTTTGATAGCTATTGTGGCAGACGTAATTCCTAAAAAGAAGATAAGACATAATAAGCTATCATAGAGATAGTTTCTGCTAGTTTCAGATACTTGATGTTTTCACTGTTCTATCTAAATATTTTTCTGGCGTTAATGGAATATAGTAACACTTCTCATTCTACACAAAAAAATAAGAAAAACCATCCTCGCACAAGCGCAATACATTATGGACAATGCAAGTGGGCTAATAATATAATTATGAAAAGAAAAACTCACAAGAAAGAGAAAAAGAAGTTGATCGAAAATGTATATAAATGGTAAGTTGTGGACAATACTTCAGCAGTGACTACCGAGTTTAATATTACCATTACAACAGACAAATAATAATGTATAGTAGCCTTGACTACCACAGCATGCATTGCCGAGTTTAATAACACCATTACAACATGTATGTAATGATTTATAGTAGCCTTCATTACCACAGCATGCATTACCGAGTTTAACAACACCACTACAACAGGTATATAATGATGTATAGTAGCCTTCGTTACCACAACATGTATTACCGAGTTTAATAACACCATTACAACACGTATGTAATGATGTATAGTAGCCTTCGTTACCACAACATGCATTACCGAGTTTAATAAAACCATTACAACAGGTATGTAATGATGTATAGTAGCCTTCGTTACCACAGCATGCATTACCGAATTTAATCATACCATTACATGTTACTGCTTCACAAAATCGTAATTTTATTAACAATAAAAGAAGAACTTCAGATAATATTACTTTAAAATTCATAATTTTTTTTCTTTAGTATATTTATTGAATTGATATTACAAATGACTATACATCAATCAGAATAAGGTGTTATATATATTAATTTATTTTCTATAGATTTTTCATCGTTATGCATCATCGACTATCAACCAATAAAGGTGTGTAGAGAAAAAGAAGATAAAAAGAAAAGTCATGTTTTTTATTTGCTTATTATCTGTAATGAATCCTAAGTAATGCGTGACATATAATAAAAGATACAAAATGTTTCAGATGGACAATAATTAGAAGAAAATGAAATTTTTTTTTCAAACTCAGAAGATAGGAAGAAGAAAGATACAAAAAAATAATGTTTTTTGAAACATTGAACTCATTTGATTTTCTATCATTGGTTTTTCTTTTTATAGAATGACATTAGATGTGTAAGTCGATCGACTGAGTAGCTACAACCGTTGAAAGCTAAAAATTAAAGATTTTCAACTGTTATTACTAAAGTCTCAGATCTTTGTAGCCGTAATCGTCGACTGAGGAGAAAAGCTAGGGCTAATTCAGCCGTCAACACCGACTAATGCATTGCTTTACATCTCTAAGTACTGTACCATGTTGTAAAAGTTGAATTTTACCTAATAGATGAATGTACAAACAGAAAGTTTGAAAAATATGATCAAAAACATGGATAAGATACCTACGTAAAAATGAATTTCTCGTTGATATCAACAACGTATTGTTCTTGTTTTCGAACATACAAATTTCACTGAATTTTTATAGCTCTGCAACAATTCAAGTTCAATAGGTGTTTCAATGTAAGTTTTTCAATTGAATGAATATTTATATTTTCAACCGATCTACTCAAACGAGAAAAACTTAATTAAATGACTTATTCCATTTATCTTCAGGAATAATTCTTCGTCATTAGTACAGGTTCTATTTGATTAATTTTTAAACAAATGCTCTTAAATTAGTTTGATAATATGATTAGTTAATATTTTATTCTCCTCCGTTGGATTATTTTTGACATATTTATAGAACGATCATAGAAAATAAAAGAAGCGTGAAATCCAAAAACTTTAAAAAAACATTTTCTGTAGTAAGCTCCATGAAATAGCGATTAGTGAAAAGAACTATTTTATTTCATAGCTTCATTTCCAGAATATATGGCTTATAAAATCAATAAATTTGAAAATGTGTAAAAAAACTAGGGTTGATGTGGGTGTTTGTGAAAAGAAGACTCACACCCACATTCAGAGGTGTGGGGTGTGGATGTGGGTGTATCTCCTCTTCATCTACACCCACACCCTATGTCACTTTGAACATAGAATTGGCATGTCAACGAAGAATTAAGTATAAGGGTGTGGGTGTCGGTGTCGGTATGGGGGGGGGGGGGGGGATGCGGATATAGGTGTGCGTGTGGGTTTAAAGAGGAAGAACACCCACACCCACCCAATGGATTAAATATTCAATATTGTGTTCTTGATCGATTACTATCCGATCAGCGTAAAAATAAAATTTTCAAAAGCTTATTTCTCAAAGCTATCCGAACCATTGTCAAAAGCCCGTAGTGATACAAAAATCAGAAACACCGAGGGGCGACTGAGCTTCCCCAGGACGATGATTTCGGCCTCCGGATCCTGTCGGAACCGTCAGGAAAACATACGGAAAATGGAAGCAGTATTTCAGACTGGAAAGCACCGTACCGAATCCTTTCGCTTCCGTGCAAAGCCAGTGTCCGGAATTATTTTTGGAAATTACCATATCCGCGTGGAATTCTTACGGAAAGTTACCGTCTCCTGCTTCCCAGGTCAAAGAATACGGCAAGGAGCCAGCCGTTTCCCGCGGGGAATTCACGGATCTGATCGCCGGAATCATCGTTTTGGGGTATTTTTCTGCAGGATACGATGAATTTTCTCGCCGGTTCCTACAGGATATGTTTTTCGTAATCATTGACCTGGGATCATATCTAGGCGGAATCACACTGGAAACGGCCAGATCTTCTCCTATGTTATCTACTAACAACATAGAAAATCTCGGAACTCAACGGAACACGGCCAAAATATTCCTAAACAAGATAACACCGGCTATTTCCAGCAAACTCCCGACACTTCCGTCGCTATCCCGCTGGAAACGCTCGAAAACGGCAAGCAGAATCCGTCAAAGTCCTGCGCAGTACTATCCCTAAGATCCGATCGTTTCCTACCATTACCCGCAGGAAACGGTGCACTGACCCGTTTTCCCGCCAATTCCATAAAAATTCACTACTTTCGGTCAAAAGCGTGGGCTCCAAACTGCCTAAACTCCAAATTTCGAGCTCACTTACGCATCCATATTTTACTCAATGACCTCTGTTCTTGCTTTAAAGTTAATAGTAAATGGTAGGCTCCCATCGATAATAGGCATAGACTATGAGCATTATGTAACTGTAAATTAATTAATTAATTAATTAGTATGCATCTTAATTAGTCCTCATCTTGAACAATACTCATCGTGATTAATACTCAACCAGTTAGCACTAATTAAGATAAGTACTCATAACTCTCGACGGGTTAAACTATGAAGACGCATAGGCATTCAAGTACTACGCCATGGGTATACCCTTAGGTCCTCAGGGGCTTTCCTATTAGGATACTCTTAGGTTCTCAAGGGCTATCCTATAGGGGTATTCTTAGGTTGTCAAGGACTATCCTATAAGAGTACGCATAGGCCTTCAAGGGCTATAATATAGAAGCATCCAGGAATCCTCAAAGGCCATCGTATATGGATATCCATAGGTCAGCACGAACTATTCTATAGGGGTGCTCATAGGTCTTCTACCGTTTTCCTATAGGAGTACCCATATATCCTCAAGGACTATTGTACAAGGGTACCCATAGGTTTTCACGGGATATTATATGGGATACCCATAGGTTTCCACGGATTTTTCTATAGGGGTATCCGTAGGCCCCCAAGCAGTATAATATAACAGTGCCCATTAGAGCTCTTGAGAAGCTATGGGCAATTATTTTGAAAGCATACCACATTTACATCGACTCCATGCGAGTGGGATAAAACTTTCTGAGCTAGTAGAATTTGATATACTAATCTCGAAAATCAGCTTGAAATTGTTTTAAAATGATGCTGTAGTAGCTTGGAACGAGCAGTTTCTGAAGCAATGTCGGTCAATCGTTGATTTCTACAAATTGTCTATTTTAAATGGTCACAACTTGATAAAATTCACAGTGGATACTTGCCAATGATACTAACCTATTAAACACTAACTTTTTCCTCTGAAGTTCGCTTTCTATTGAAATGTTCCGCATAACAATAAACTTTTTCCTGATTTTGGAAGGGTATCTTCCGCAATAACGAACAACATTTAGTTACCAATTTTTTTATATGTTGAGATCATCTTTGCACGACATATACAGTTATGCGATTTTGAAAGATTTCGTTACCACACGTTTCTCAAACGTGTTTTCTTTTTGCATTAGCTCATTCAGCACTGAAACAGCGCTGATACAGTCGGAGTAGTTACTAAACTTTTCCCAAAAGTCTTTTTTTCGTTGGCTGATTCTACGCTGCAACAGCGCTGATACAACCGGACCAATTACCAAACTTTTCCTAAAAGTGTTTTTTTCGTTGGCTGCTTCAGCGCTGAAGCAGCGCTGATTTAGCGGGAGTAGCTACTAAAATTTTTCCAAAAGTCTTTTTTTCGTTGGCTGATTGTGCGCTGAAACAGCGCTGATACAGCAGGAGTAGTTACCAAACTTTTCCCAAAAGTCTTTTTTTTCGTTGGCTGATTCAGCGTGAGTAGTTAACAAACTTTTCCCAAAAGTGTTTTTTTCTATGGCTGATGACCATCCACGATTTGCTAACCAGTCTCATCTCTATATAAGAAAGTGAGTATTGATTGATTAGTTTATATAGAGCACATATTCATTGAAATATGCCGTATCTATGTGGAAGATGCTCTGGATAATTCATAATTTACTAAAAGCTCTATTGTTCATCAGGAAAAAACATTTATAGTAATTTCTTCCTAAAAATGTTGTCTAGTCAGTCAACATTGTGGGTCATTTTTTGCCTTGATGGAAAACTTGATTTTAAACTTCTTTTTTTCCAATTTTGTAGAGAAGAAAAAGCTGTACAACATATGTGAAATTCAGCGTGCGGACATTTAAAATGACTGAATGGCGGTAGCTGATGCATTATCAAGAATTGACACTCTTTTCACTCTGAAAATGGCCAGTCATGAATAGTATTTTATAAATAACTGTGGATCAGTCTATGGAAATATAATATGTAAATACCTCGTTTTGTTCAGCTTTCGATGCTCTACCTTTTCGGATATTATACGAAAAGTTTAGCTAATTTGTTGTCGTCTAAAAAACTCGGCTTTATATAAATGATTTTGCATAACATTCTGAAAATAATCTCGGCAGTGTTCCACAGTCCACTCTGGTTAACTTTTCATCGGCCCAACCAAACACGTTAAAAATTTGGATTTAGAGGTTTTCGACGATTCTGAATAAGATGAGAATATCCAATTAAAAATCTAAATTTTAACAAGTACTTCGATGACGGACATGATACTTCATAGTGTCATGAATTCTGTCTTAAGTAACTAACTGATTTTTTTTGGTCATAAGAGAATTATGCGTTTGCTTTTTATGCCATAATATAATGATATTGTAAAAAGATAGATAAGTGCAAAAAAAGTACGATTGATTATATGTCTGCCATGAATTCTATGAAACTAAATTTTCTTGTCTTTTTGGTGTTGTGAAAAATACCGATACGTGTTAATTGAACTTATGAAGTGAATGTTCCTACGTTTCTCGTTCATGTTGCATCATTGTTTCATTTTGTTTTTTGTATGAAATCCTGGAGTTAAGCAGTTTAAAACATTAAATTAAGCCATTCTGAATAATTCGTGTATTGTACGCTATTGTTTCTTTCTCTTTGTCATCGAATAAATTTTATATGATATGTAAATTGTTAAGTGATCTCGTATATGACTGTGAAAATATGTAATTGAAACGATTGTTACAAAGCTTATAGTTGAATATCGTTTATATCCCTCTTTTTTCATTTTGTAACAGAATTCAAATTATGGACTTTTAATGCGTTCTGTTTTTTGTTCTTCTCTTCACTATTTGTTCTTTTTCTTTCCCGTTCGTATCGGTATTGCACAGAAGCTCAGAAGCGCGTCTAATCTGAATATAAGGGGGTGCCGATATTGATATCATCTCTCGCTGACCTTTCTATCCTCTTTTCTCTTTATCTTGTCTCTGTTGTTCTCTTCTGTGTTCATCTCTCTCAGTTGTTCTTTCCTGTGCTCATCATTCCTTCTTGCTCTCTCCTATATAAGCGTATTGTATGTGAAGTAGTTACATTCTGGAGATGTGAAGTAGCTCAATAAACATCATTACCGGGGGTGGCGGAAAGTTACTCAATTCAGTTTGTCGTTACAAACAAGAAAATAATATTCGAAATTAATGCGTTGTAGTGCATCGAAACATACAACAGTGAAGAACAAGATACTATTCAAGAGTAATGCATTAATAACAATCAACATCGCAATATCATCTGATACTAATACATTATAATACATTAAATAAAAAAACAATCAACTTCACAATATTATTCAATAATAATGCATTGAAATCCGTTAAAACAAACAACAGTGAACAACAAAATACTATTCAAAAGTAATGCATTGTAATGCATTAAATATATACACAATCAACATCATAATAATATTCGAGAATAATGTATTGTAACGCACTAAAAACAATCAACAGTGAGCATAAAAATGCCGTAAGATAAAAAAAAGTGTCAATATTACCAATAATGAACTTTAAAATGTCAATCAGTAGTAATTTCGCGGTATTGCACTGCGTATGATCAATAATAAAAAGAAGAATGTTATTAGAGAATAATGCTTTGTAATGCATTAAAAAGTCATCAATAGCAAATAGAGAAGAGAAATCACAGCAAGAAAAAATATATTATAAAGAACATCGAATCTTTCAAATAATTTTTTTCAGGTCAGTAAACAATCGACCTACGGATATGGCAGTGTAGTGCCATTCAAAAGAATATTTGTTATTAATTTGAAAATTAGTATAAAATAATCATGATAATACATATGGTTTCTTTTGATGATTAGATTATCAATTATGTTTATTTTCGTAAATTAATGAATAGATTATTTTGATCACGTATATGAGCAGTGCTCTATTATAGTCATACTTTTCAGAATTAATCTCTTGAAAAAGAAAAAAAATACTAAAGGCTCAGTGTTATTCATACTTTATTCTATTGTTCATTTTTCTCGTTGTTATTTCTTTTCTTTCTCTCTTGTTTGTCTTATTATTCTTCTCGTTCATTAAAAATAAGAAAATTATTGAATAAGAAAAAAATAAAATGAAATAAAAAAATATAAATATTTATTGTATTCGTTGTTATTCTCTCCATTATTATACATTCAAAAATATAATTATAACTATTCTAAAATGAAAAATTCATGTTGTCGTATCAAATTAAAAGAATTTATATAAATTTTATATTTTGCTTTTTCGGTGTTTTAACAGGCATGTGCCCATCAATTTATATAAATTTTATCTTTTGGTTGTTGCTATTTCAACATGAGTGTGCCTTGCGTTGTATAAATTTTTGTTTTTTCTGCTATTTGAAGAGGAGTGCAGTTTTTTTTAAACTTTTCATTTATATTCGAACTCGAATTAGACATTTACTCTATCTTTCTCTTGTTCTCCATATCTTAAATTGTAGTGAACAACAAATTTTATGCTAGAAGTCCCACGAGCAAGTATTTTATCGATTTGTCAATAAAAACAAGATACTTGCACGCATCCAAGGCTATTTTTCAAGATTCGACAAACGATTGTATAGAAAAAGAATAATGAAAACGATTGCCCCCTTTTAACGATAATCCATGCGCCAGGTGCATTAATCCGTCTTTGTTTATAGTGTTTTTTTCTTGTTGTGTACATACGGACACGCATGGTTTTGATGCAATGTATTATGCTTTTCTATTGATTACAATATGAGATGGAGAGAAAGCATGCGTGATAATGATCAGAACTTTCAAAACAAAATGCAAATGCGTATCAAACAAAAGCTCAAATGTAATTGCGTGTTACACGTGTCATGAGAAAGGAAAAAATAAGTAATGATACATCGATTTGTATTTTACGAGAAAATATTTTAAAGATCATCGAATTGGTTTATGTTTCGGCACAAACAAAACCTAAAATTTCGACAGTTTTCTTAAGAGAGACGCTGTTGAATCCTCTATCAAACTAGTATTGAAAAATCTTGTGAACTTGTTTCAATAGATTTATAAAAGACGCAAATCGAAGGCTTACATTACGATGCAGCATCCCAATATTTTCAAAAAATAACTGATATGTTTGTCTCGTTGATCATTTTGTATATTTGGGTGCTGGCACAAGCAATTGACAAACTTCATAATCCTTCTCTACAAGAGGCGCTGTTAACTTCATTACATAACTAAAAATGAAAGTTATTTGTTCTGATCATTTTTTAAGAGACTTTAACGTTGATGATGAAATTTTCTCTAATTTTTGAGTTATAAAAAAGTGTACGCTATCGTACATATTGTATTAATATCTCGTTAAACAAATGATAGATTTTCAAAGTTTTTCGAAAGATGCACGCTTCAATTCTGTACAAAAAGTGTAAAAATACTCTTGATTTTTGAAGAATTATGATGTAGGATTGTCCGGAAAGTTCGGGCAACTCATGTTCTATGAAACCGTACAATAGCAAATGGCACATTTATTCAAACGTTTCTAATGGCATAAGCAGCTTGTGTGATCGTTGACAATATGTGGTTGCTAGCGATGGTCATTACACTGAATAAATGCAGCACTTGTTATTGTACGGTTTCATAGAGTACGAGTTACACGCACTTTCCGGACAATCCTATGGTTCGGTTTGATTATGATTACACAGTAAAACAAGGACGATTTATTCGTCCGATAGGATTGATAGACAATACCCCACGTGGAGAACGTATGATTATCATTATTTTACATTCCCTTTTTCTCTTATATTCGAGGCGTGCGCACAAATAAAAGAAAAGTTTTTTCCTCTTCTCCTTGAGAAAAAGCGTTCTCTCTCTTCTACAACTGAAAATGTAATTTTTGAGCAGCTTTGTAAGGTGTACGCAGTGCAGAATTTCGGTAAAAATTTTTTTTCGTATTTTTTACAGATGCTTCGATAGTACATAAGCTGCTTGTTACGATAAATTAGTGTTTAGTTTTTGAAAAATTTTTTTTTTATGTCAAAAAAATTTTTACAAAACTGAAGAAGATCGTTTTTTTCGAAATCTGCATCATTTTTCGAAGTGTTACGAAATTTTCTATTTTAGTCCTTTTTTTAGTTTATGCAACTATTTTTTTCGAATACAACTTTAAAAACTGAGTATAGAAATAGTATTGAATTGGTTTTAACTCAAAAATATTTTTCATAGTGTCGGTTTCAATTGTGTCCAATAGAGTGCTTATCGGTCATTTTTGTAAACCTATTCAGTTTTCCTGATTAAGTGAAGAAGTGAAATATTTTATCTTAATCGATTCATCATATCATGAGTCACAAAAATACGCATCACTTTTTTTTTCTTTTTTCTTTTCGTAGATGAGAAAAATCATTTTTGCTAAATTTTGATCTAAATAGTAGGAA